ATGGATGCTAATTAAATGGTATGATAATTCGTAACGAATAACAAGTCTGACATCTTAACAGCTTAAAAAGCTGCTTGTTGGATGGTTATGACTTTGCAGTTTAATAAGTCATCCTTGTAGCTACTATAATATACACTACACTAATATACATTATGTTTTTAATTTTTTCTAAAGAAATCTCTTATGCTCACTGGGGCTGCATTTATTTGATCAAAAATATATTTTAAAACTTTACTATCACTTTTGGTCAGTTTAATGCATCTGTTGAATAATAGTATTAATTTCTAACAAAAAAAAAAAATCTCACTGACTTCGAACTTTTGAACAGCTGTGTTTGCACACTTGTCACTGCAAGTTGTCTGTTACAAACAAGTTGTAAGAGTTTTGTTACAGACAGTATTATGCAAATTGTTAAATGTGATTTGTCGAAATAATAGAGATTGTGCTCAAACTGATGCACGCAGATACTTAGAATAAGATACTTATATTATTGTATTATCTGTATGCTATACATTGTGCAGGCAGTGCAGTTGAAGCCAGCCTTGCATTGCTTCAGGAAGCAGAGCGCAATCTGAAGGCACTGGTTACAACACGACTGGAGGAGGCAGTTGCCACAGGCGACTTGCCTCAAGTGGAGCGCTTTTTCAAGATCCTTCCTTTACTGGGACTTCATGAGCAAGGACTTGCACGCTTTGCTCAGTACCTTTGCAGTCAGGTAGGGGCATGTGTGTATGTCCGCCTTAAGCCCTGGACACACCAAGCCGGGCAATGTCGGATGGTTTTTGAGCGCCGGTCGGCTTTTGTTTTTTCAAAGTTGGAAGACCAAGGGCTGACAATGCCAGTGCCTTTTGCAACTTAGCAGACATAATTGAAAAAAGCTACACAAATCCATCGGTAATGAGCGTGGCTGGTGTAAACAATGGTAAAAGCAAGCACTGCTTGCTTTGTATGTCCACAGTTCTAGCTCTTCCGGTTTCCCTGTTTGAATGCAGAATAAAGACTATTTCCACCTGCTGGTATGGGAGAGTTACGTTCTCTCAAGCAAGTGCAGAGCGTACATGCTAGTTGGCTGTCAGCTGTAGTCTGTCCGGTGTGTTATAGTGCAACTTTTTTTGTTCCGATGCGAGGCGACGCCACAGTTGGCTTTCCTCAGCGCTGGTTCTTTGGCCTCAGTTTGGTGTGTCCCTTACCTTTGCATGACAAGTGAAATCAGTTGAGAATGCTTTGGTTTAGTTACTTGGATTCTAATATTAAAACCTGTGTCTTTTGTTTGCTTTTCTTTCAGTTGGCCAGTAAGGCAGAGGAGAACTTACTCTTGGCTGTTGGCTCTGATCTCGGCGAACGCAGAGCACCGGTCATTTTTGCCGACACACTCACACTGCTTCTTGAAGGTAAGAGCAGATGCATCACTGTTTAACTTGCCAATATCTATAATGTTTAAACAGAGATCAACCAGCCTTTGTCTATAACTGTTAGGTATTGCACGCATTGTTGAAACCCATCAGCCCATAGTGGAAACATACTATGGACCAGGCCGACTACACACACTCCTTGCACACCTTCAAAAAGAGTGTGATAAACAGGCTCAGAAAATAGTGGACAAATTCATCCAACAGAGAGATTACAACAATAAGGTGTGTAGTGTCTTTACTGTATGCTGTATTTGTGTGTATATCATGTACTAATACTTAATGTTTGTACTATGAATGAAGTGTGCTTTGACGTAGTTATACACATGATGCATGCATTTTACTTTTGTTTTGCAATAGTTTCAGGTTATCCAGAGCAGCATGATGAGGGGCATGACTACAGAAAAGATTGAGCCCAGGTGTGGTCCGTGTTATAATTGTTTATCTTTGTATCTTGTGAATACATGGTGTTTTATTTGTGGTTGTATGTTTAATCTAGAGACCTGGATCCCGTGTTATGTGAGGTTACCTTAATGAACTCCAGAGCCGAGCTATACTTTCGGTTCTTGAGGCGGCGTATAGTGGCTGACTTTGAGGTTGCAGATGCAATGGCAGATGAAACAGTTATACAAGGTAACACCTAACTTTTTATGCAAAATGAAACTACTCTATGAAACAAAATGTATAAAGTACAAAACTGTCATTAGCTGTAGCCTAGCAGTTAGCACATGCTACTGCACAGTACTTCCTAATCCAATTTCTCCCCACCATTGCCTGTTAAAAAGAAATATATGTAACTAACTGGGCATGTGTCGAATATGTTGTTGAATATGCTGATTTATGTAAATGAATACTCATCACTATTATGATTTGGTATCTTCTACTGGCATTGTTAATGTTTGATTGTTTGTTTTGTTTTCTAGAGCATCAGCAGAGTTTAGAACAGTTACTGAAGAACTGCCAGCTGAGCCGCACTATGCAGGAGCTGATTGGTTATTACATTCCCATGGAGGAGTATTACATGAGAGAGTCTGTCAACAAGGTGTGACACATATACAGTCAATAATTTCATGCTGTGTTGTGTGAATGTACATTACACTTGAATCAGAGATATCAAGAGTTATTGTCAGACACATGTACACTTCCATTCAAAAGTTTGGGGTCATTAAGATTTTTTATAAAAGGATTTAATTGAGCAAGGATGCATTAGATTTATGTAGTGACATCAAATACTTTTTTGTTGTTACAAAAGATTATTTCAAATTAATGCTGTTCTTTTGACCTTTTTATTAAAAAAGAGTCTTGAAAAAAGTTTTCTTTTTCACAAAAATATTAAGCAGCACAACAGTTTTTACCAAATCAGCATATTAGAATGGTTTTTGAAGGATCATGTGACACTGAAGACTGGAGTAAAGACTTTAGCTTTGCCATCACAGAAATAAATTACATTTTTACAATACATTAAAATAAAAAAGTTATTTTAAATTGTGTTAATATATCACTTTTTTACTACATTTTTTAAAATCAAATAAATGCTTGGTGAGAACAACAGACTTCTTTCTGACCCAAAACTATTGAAAGGTGTAGTGTGTACCTTCCTACATTTTCTAATTGTGTCCTTGTTTTATCTACAATAGTGTTTTAGTTTTGCCATCGTTAAATTGCAGATACATTTCTTTGGCAGAATCTATGTACTCATAGGTTGATTGATATGACCTTATAGGCAGTTGCCATGGACACAGCTGAGGTGGGTCAGCTGAGCTCCAGCATGGTGGACGATGTTTTCTACATTGTGAAGAAATGTATCAGCCGAGCCCTCACCAGCAACAGCTCTGACTGCGTGTGCGCTATGATTAATCATGCAACCAGCGTTCTGGAGACAGACTTCAGGTATACGCACAAATTTAGATTTTAATTAGCCTAAGTATGTTTTGTTACTATTGTGGTACTATTGTAGTGGTGGTTGAAGAGTTAGAAATTCACATCATAGATTTTTTTTAAAAAACTAAAATCTGTATACGCTTTGCATTTCTTTCCTTGTATGCAGAGAGGTGTTGGTATGTAAGCTACGAGCTGGTTATCCATTCAGTGCTCTGCAGGATCTGCAGCGTGGGGTCAGCAGTGCAGTCAGTCTGATGCAGAGCAGCCTGCAGCATGGCAAGATAACAAATCTTACACAAACACTTGGGATTGAGAGCCAGGAGCAGGCAAAGAGCGCCTACTTGGTCAGCATCAAGTCTTTCTATCTCTCGCTCGCTCTCTCACACACAAACACACACTCAATTTATTGTGTCACTTTTCACTTGTTTTCCCTTGTGTAACTTAAATAATGATATGTTTGGTTCTCAGGTGGCTCTCAATAATGTGGAGGTCTGCAGTGAGAATATCAGCACTCTGAAAAAGAACCTAGAGGTCAGTGTGATATTACTCTCTGATGTTTTTTAATTAATTAATTTTTTTTATTCCAGCCAACCAACAGAATCACGCACTGTCACTTGCTCACCATCATGTTTTCCCAAAACCGTGAGACTTTTTTTCCATGGAACACAAAAAGAGAAATTTTGAAATCTTTTCTATGCAATTACAGTTGCAGATAGAAGCTTACAAGCCCCCATTAACAGATCAAAAAAACTGGTACAATGAGTTGCTTTCTCTCCCTGTACGTCTCAGAGTGATTGTGCCAAGTTATTCAGTCAGGGAGTGGGCTCAGATCATGCGAAGGCTAAGATAGACAGCTGTCTATCTGATTTGGTCAACACCTCCAGCAGATTCAAGGACCTCCTCCAGGTCAGTGAAAATCTGTTTATACACTACCATTCAAAAGTTTGAGGCTGCATTTATTGGATCAGAATACAGTAACAACAGTAATATGTGATTACAAATGCATTTATTTTTAATTTAATTAAATGTAGTTTAAAATGTAGTTTATTCCTGTGATGGTAAAGCTGAATTTTCAGCTGTCATTACTCCAGTCTTCAGAGTTACATGATCTTTCAGAAATCATTCACATATACTGATTTGGTGCTCAAGAAACATTATTATCAATGTTGAAAATAGTTGTGCTGCGTAATATTTTTGTGGAAACCATGAAACTTTTTTTCAGGATTGTTATATGAAAAGGTTAAAAAGAACAGTATTTATTTGAAAAGGAAATCATTTGTAACATTATAAATGTTTTACTGTCACTTTTGATCATTTTAATGCATCCTTGCTGAATCATCTTACTGACCCAAACTTTGGAATGGCTGTGTGTCAACATCATCTGTCTTAAATGTTTGTGCTGTTTTTGTTAATGGTTTATGCTTGTACAGGAGGGTCTACAGGAGCTTAATAACACCTCTATCAGGCCACAAGTAAAACCCTGGATCAGCAGCTTCCTGTCTGTCTCACACAATATTGAAGAGGTATGATATGATAACATTGCCGTATCTACTACTACTATTACTACTTCTACTGATAAAGAGTGGAAATAAATCTGTCTGCACTTGAGTTGACAATGATAGCAATAGAAATACTTTTTTACTTTATTTATTTTTAAAATGTTTCTTTTATTTATTTATTTATTTGTTTGGGGATAAGTTAAGCCGTGCTTTGTTTTGTTTTTAGGAAGAGTTCAGTGAGTATGAAGCCAATGATCCTTGGGTTCAGCAACTCGTTGTCCAGTTGGAGCAGCTTATGGCCGAGTTTAAGGTATATTCATTTTAACCCACTTATAAAACCTATTATAATACTAAAGATGCCTCCCTGTAGGTGGGCCTGTCACCAGTCATTTACGATACTCTAACTAGCCTGATGACCAGCCTCATCGCTATAGAGTTGGAGAAGACTGTGTTCAAATGCACCTTCAGCAGGGTGAGATGTAAACCTGCCCTGCACAAATGAACAGCCACATATTTGCTTAAAGTCACAGACATCCTAACTGTCCTCTCCATTCTGCATTGCAGCTTGGTGGATTACAGTTTGATAAGGAGCTGCGCGCTTTGGTTGCCTACCTCTCCTCTGTCACCTCCTGGACCATCAGGGATAAGTTTGCCCGACTCACACAGATGGCAACTATTCTCAACTTAGAAAGGGTATGTGGCTTTTTGACTGGCATTTAAATTTTTAATCACTGAAAACTGGTCTAAGTGTATAAGAAAAGAGTCGTTTTGAATTTTGTTTGTGTTTTCTTCCTTTAGGTGTCTGAGATCCTGGATTATTGGGGACCCAACTCTGGGCCTTTGACTTGGCGTCTGACCCCTGCTGAGGTTCGCCAGGTCTTGGCTCTAAGGGTAGATTTCCGCAGCGAGGACATTAAAAGATTACGACTCTAACAGAACTAAACAAAAACACTTTCCCCTTAAGGTTTTTATGCATAGAAATGGTGTGTTGGGTAACTTGAATGGAGGTGTGTTATCTCTGAACTTTTGTATACGCAATTTCTTCTTCTTTTTTTTTTTTTTTTTAAACATATGTAATGTATTACCAGCCAACCTTGTGAATCAAATAGTCCATGAGCTATTCTGAAGCTCACACTCACTTAAAGGGGTCATATGATGCGATTTCAATTTTTCCTTTCTCTTTGGAGTGTTACAAGCTCTTGGTGAATAAAGAAGATCTGTAAAGTTGTAAAGACTAAAGTCTCAAATCCAAAGAGATATTCTTTATAAAAGTTAAGAGTCAACCACACCTACCTAAAACGGCTCATTCTAACACGCCCCCACATGTCTACCTCACTATGTGGGAAGATTTGCATAACGCCGCCCAAATGTTCACGCAAAGAAAGAAGGCGTAACTTTGATTCTTGCTGTAGTTTTGTTGCAGATTTCCGCCATGTCGTGAAGACGCTGTGTGCTTCGTTGTGAAAATGAAGCTACTTTGTTTGGTCTTCCAAAAGAGGACACGACTACAAATCAGTGGTTAAGTTGTATTTACAACACTGTTCCAGAACAGTTTAACCCAAATATCCAGATGTGTGCAGCACATTTTATGGAGGACTGTTTACTGATCCTGGGAGAGTAGACTGCAATGCCGGCAGTTCTGACTCAATCTATAAGTACGTTTTCATTTAAATGATTTGCCACTGATGATTCAAACGCGAGTTTTGGGCAGT